CTCATGCAGCCGTGCCATTCCAAAAGGCGGCACTTATAATAACAAAAGTGTTCGAAATACTGCGCCTGCCACGCACAATGAATGGACACCTCCAAAGTATTACGCTTGCCAGAAAAAATGGACGTCATCTTCGGAGAACCTTGCAAAAGTATTGTGCCTGTCACACAGAACGACTTTTGACACGTTCTGAGACATGTGGGAATGTCGCAAAGTGCCACGGCTGCCACGCGAAACGACGTTGCGCGACATTTCAAACCTTCAAATCCAAAGGCGACCACTTTTTGCAGCAGTCACTATAGGCACGGCCATAGGGTCCCCACGCGGTCGTGCTGCGGAGGGTTGCGGACGGTTGCGAACACAAAAGCAACGTCGAGCGAACACGTCTCAACCCCCAAACCCCCAAAGTAAAACGAGAACCCTTTGCTACGCATTCAATCTCAGGACCCCAGGACGCTTAATAATAGATCAATTTTAATAAATATAGTTAATTAAGTATTTGCTGATTATGAATATTATATAATGTTATAATTAATATGTATCTTTTAAATATATTCCCGAATTAGGAATATCGATTCATGAATTGTGGTGAAATGATGCAAAGGAATAGAAGAAAGTCGAAAAGTAGAGTATTGGATGTCGTATGAATATGATGATGATGATGATGAACATGGTTGTTGTTGGATGTATTGGCGTTGAAGTTGTCAGCCTGGCAAATGGAAACGAATCAGCTTCTTGCCTACAGTAAAGGCCCAAAAATCAGGCAGAACCCATTTCCTTTGACTACGCTAAATGCAAATATTCCGGATTTTCTTGCAAGGTAACAAGTCGTCTAAAGTCGCAGAAGATACAGAGGTTGTCTTGTGATCATGGAATTGACTCAAATGCTGCACTTGCAGCTAAAGAGGAATCTCAACGCTAAGCATCCAGCTTGTCCCCCCAATCAACGATAATCAAAGCATCCGAACTGGTTTGAAGTAGGACGGACCTTCCATGAGTGACTTTTGCAGATCCAGTGACAACCATGCCTCACTGAATGGGTGTCAAACTGCTGCTGGGCCGGTCTCCTTGACCTCAAAGAACTAGGTAACTTGAAGCATCGGCCAACAAGTCAAGCAACAAAGCGCTTGCAATGGTTTCTTCCTACAGAACAATAGCAAGCAACTCATAGGTTGCTGGCTACAGAACATCCTGCATAAGAATCAGAACACTCTTTTGCAACGTCTCAGGTCCGGATGCCATTTCCAGCTTCCTAGCAGGTCCTAGCAGCTAAGAGCTCGGCGGTAACACTGCACACGGTGCAAGCGCTCTGTCATTTGCTGATTCTTCACAAGGAAGGCTAACTCTGCCTAGGTGTCCCATGGTGTTTCATGGTGTTCCGGATCTGCTCAGGATTCTCAGGACTGGCCAGATCCGGGACCTACATTTTTAAACAGCGGTAACTTGGGATGTCCTTGTGAGAGCAAAGTCATGCAACGTCATGGCATCAAACGTAGAGTTCCTGAGATTTGTGCTCCTTTGGCAAAGGTGGAGCCAATAACATTGTTGGCATAGCGTCCAGGGACAAACCCGGTGTAGCCTGGCTAGTAGACTAAAGGTGCGCGAATCTCGACCCGACGGCAATCTGTTTTCAACATCTAGGCAAAACAGGCACATGTAATGCCTTTCATGTTCAACTTTCTATTCAGCTTTCCAAACCATTCTTGATTGCATAGGCTTGCAAACATACCATTCAAACCCTTGATAACAACATAAGATGACACAATTTATTGCTCTACTTTGCTGTAGGTAGTGATATGTTGTTTCTCGCATCACTGCCTCCTCTTGAACCATTCTATCTTTCCAAACCCGTGGCTGCAGCTTCTGCTGTCTCATGCACGCATGATCAGCAACAAATCTATGTAGAACAAATCAAACACATAACACAGCCGAATTGTGTGTCCACTCAGAAACCACAACAACATCACTAGAAGAAAGTTGGCAACTTTTCCACACCCCTACCTTTGAAGATGTTTTGATTAAAACATGTTTGAGCCTATGATCAGTTTATATGTACAAATCATTGGAGTGTAAAGAAAATGGGTCAGTATCATGTTGTAATGACATTGTGAATATTGGATCGAATACAGGATCATAAGTACGATATATTAAAATATTATCATACACTCAGTATGACCAATACGATATGACTATTCAATACTACTATTAAATCTTTTAAAATACTACCTATATGATATATATATACATACAATATTATAGATTATATATTATATATATACCCTATGGTTATTTAACATAGCCATGGAAAATCACCATGCTATAAATAGGTAAACCATCTATTTCTATGGACCATCTATACCATGGCTATGTTAGTCATAACCAGAGGGTATATACTATTATATGGGGATGGGTCAAAACCCTATTCCCCTTTTTTGTTCACATCAAGTCATAGCTGGGATTTATGGATGTGAATAACCCCCTAAAAATGTATCTATAGGTATTGATCCATAGCCATATAATCTATAATATTGTATCCCATAGGATCCATTTATGGTATATATACTAACATTGGGGGTATATTGATGGTAAATGTCACCATATATGGCATACATGGATCCTATGGGTATATATGTACATAATTGTACATATATCTGGAGATATGATCCCTGCATCACAACCTGGCGCCGTCTGCCTGGCACCTCTGCTCCAGGAGCTGGACCTGGGTCGCTCTGACAAGACGTGGTTGCCAAATAGGGGCCGTTTTATATGGCTTAAATAGGTTATATAATGATATATAACGTTACACAAGGCTATATATAGTTATGTAACATATATGTATATATAATTATATACAACTGTATATATACATATATATATATGTATATATATAATGTGTGTGTGTATGTATAATTGGATGTGTATATATAATTATATATATATATGTATATATGGTTCAAAGAACAAGACATTGAACAAATCTTCGGGAAGGATCAGTGAATTCCACATAGTTCCACTCAACTAAGTTAATTTTTTGGCATCACAGCTGAACGTTGTTGGAACCTCTGGGCATCCTTACCATCAAATGATCGCCCAGCGTAGATTCTTGGCACTTGTCCAGTGTTGCGAAGATGGCCCTGTCAGGTCGTGGTCCAGTGCGTTTCGTGGAAGTGGTGGTCCGTGCCGTTCGGAACATCAACATAAATCCAACATTGGTTCCCCCCCAACCACAAAAAAACAGAGATTATCATCATTCTCATCATAGGGCAAGTTGTTTGAACAGCAAAACAGCATCTCTTTCATATTTTGTGGCCTCAACCATGGCCCGTTCGTTGGCTTTCTGGAAGGTGAGTGCATGGACATTTCCCGACACCTTTCCGGGCCTTGGCGTGACATGGATATCGGCCAGAATTTTTGAATCACATAATACTCTTTCAACAACTAACAATATCAGGAATCTTATAGTAATACAATATCTTCCAATAATACTCGCATTCATATCAGGAATGTTATACTGCACACAATTAGGTTGACATGGCATGAGTCAACAAGCTCTTCAGGTCTGTCATTGGCTGGATGTTATCCACATACCCCTTGCAATTGGGCTAGTTGGCTTCTTGCCCTGTCTCTTGATGATTGTGTTCCAGGTTTGGTCATTTAGATGCTTTTCACGCATTCCCGACTTTAGTTGCAGATGGTTTTCTGCGTAATACCTGAACAATTCTCTCAGGCTGTCAGGCTGGCTTTGGCCCTAGAAAGACCTCCACTTCGGTAGGAGTGACAAATATAGGAATATAAATAAGTCTCTCTCTCTCTCTCCCTCTCTCTCTCTCTGCCACAACAGTTGGTTACAGACTGGAACATGTCTTGATCTCATAGAAAGGTCATTCCAGCTTCATATGGAGTTCTCAAACGTTGAATTCCCATGGCACAGACACACACTGAAATCTAAGATCTTCACACATATCCGGTGTATCCAGGCAAGCCAGTGACGCTGAAAGCTCCTGCCTTCAAACTTTGACGTCGGATCCAAACTCTATGCCCTTGTTAGCCAACAAGAACGTATGTCTTTGGATATCTACGCAAGGAGATTCAGAAAATAGATCTGTAAAGATCTGTATACATGGTAAACTGCAAACAAATCAAGAATGCCGACATCCATATGCAACTATCGACTATCGATGCACAACGTCTGCATGGAAAACATCGCCTGCATTGAAAAACTGAAGGGGTGGGCCTTGTTGCATTACTGTCCCATTTTGCAGCTTTCAGTGATCGTGCTTGCGAGACAAATTCATCAGCATCATCTAGTCGTTTGGGGGCACTGAACACAAACGAATCTCATAGCTACACATTTGAAAACCATAGAAAATCATACTTGCACTGCCCAAAAAACATCAAAAGACCGAGCTAAATGACTGCCTACTGCCAACCAGCCATCGAATTTTGTTAGGAAGATTTTCTAGATGGAGGTGGAGCCGGCAGTGTCAGATAGGGCCCAAAAAGTGACCCATAGTGTCAAGAGTAGTTGATTAGTTTGCCATAATCATCAGATATGGCAGTGTGTCAAAACCTTGTACCCCTGGTGAACATCAAAATAGCTGGTAAATGGATGTTCATCCCACTAAAAATGGTATTAATAGGTATTGACTCATAGCCATATCATCAGCCTGTCTCTTCAATCTGTCACTTCGTCCTGAGGTAGGACAGTTGTATCCTAGGCTGCATCTGGATGGAACATGATGGAACTGCTGTGTTTCAATGCAGGGATTGGGTTTAACTTTGGAGGAAACCGTTTGGGTGCCAACCATCGACTGGGGCATCACTTGAAGACAGTCATCTTGGGGGGACGAGAGGCCAGCTATTCCAATTCCTTGAGGGAAACATTTAGTAATGCAATAAGATTTTAAGTATCTGCCAGCCCTTTTTCAAAATCAGATCAACAACTCAACGGAACAGACTTGGATACAACATAGATCCCTAGTCCTTGGGTCCTTCCGACCAAGGGTCTGGAGTGCGTGGTTGGCGAAGTCTGGGTGGAACAATCATCAGCTCGCCCTCCGGTAGCACTCTGCTTTCAATAGGACCAGTTTGTCATTAGCTTGTCATTAGCTTGTCCGGAAGTGGGAAATCTTGTGAAATCATGCCAACCAGCAATTCTGCTAGCCGCTTCAGCTTCCGCGCGTGCTGATTTGCAAATGAAGATCACAAACTGCGCAGAATCACACTGCCTTTGAAGCGTTTGAAGTGATACTCCCCGCGGCACTCCGACCTGCAACACCACCTACATGAGACTATGGGCCCCGCTGCCGCTGGGTTGGCAAAACCAAAAGGTAAGATACTGTGTTATTTGAGCATATCCAAGCATTCCACTTAGGTTTTGTTCTAGTTTTGACTTGCTACCAATCTCAGTCTTGACACCAGCAAATTGTGTATATATATATTATATAGCATATCAATATATATATAATACATATATATATATATAAATCAACAATGGATGCGAGTTCCCTAGATGTGTCTGTGTCAGACTACCAAGTCACTTTGTCGGCTGCCGACACTCTGCCCACTTCGACCTGCAGGACATCCGTGCGGAAGCACTCCCATGGGCAGCAGCTACATGAACATCAGAACTACAAGCAACCATCAACATAGGGTGCCAATAGCTAAAACTTGTCTACAGCTGGTCTTCTTTTCGACAATTTCCAAGACTAGTCTGTGACTGTGAACAGTGAGAATGTTTGTGATTTACATGATATGTAGAGATGTTCTTCGCTTGATTGTTGAGAGAAATTCAACTGACTGACTCTAAACAGCTGTGAAAACCAGAAGCACGAAGTAGTCCGAAACCATGTCTGGCTCAAAGTGGTTCCCTCTCGGAACTGCAAAATTGCACTGAGAGCCCAGCAGGTACTCGTGCTTTGTGCAGTTGCTGGTCGCTCCATAGCCTCCACAAATTTGCAGAAAAAAACAACATGCAGCAGCTGTGGACCTGTGCCAACGCCCATCAAACCCGACACACCTTCACAGGGAGTGGGCCAAAAGGCTAAATACCCAGTGCAAATGGCGGAATATGTTTTAGCGACCAGGGATATGGCTGATATCTAAAAGCAAAATTGGCTTGCAAGTAGAACTGGTTTGGAAGTGATTTTGTCATCGTATCTGCTTTGATGCACAAATGAGACTGCCTTGAGCCATGACAGTAGCAACGAAGGAATTCTGACGCGTATCACTGTACATCTGACAGTGCCTCGAGTCCAACAGCACACGTGTCCGGATCCAACATGCACATTGGCATACACTAGCCTGGTTTTACCCGATGAATTATTTTGAATATGTGTGTGTGTGTGTCTGTGTGTCTGCCTCTCTGCCTGTCTGTCTGCCTGTCTGTCTGGCTTGTGGGCTGACTGGCTGGCTGGCTGGCTGTCTGGCTGGCTGGCTGTCTGTCTGTCTGTCTGTCTGTCTGCTTGTCTGTGCATGTTCATTTTGATAGGCTTTAGCTTGTCATCAGCAGGGCAGGTTAATTACAAATACTAAGCTACTAAGTCAAAATACATGTCCACATTGCATGGTTGTGTAGTGCACCGCTCTCTCTTTGGACTTTTGCGCCTGGTGTCGGATAGTGTCAACCCGACTTGACTTGTCTCGGCAGCCCAGTTGCCCTCTGATTCTGCCAGGGCAACAAAAAACACAACGGGTCGCAAGGTTTCTCCGCTGATGGCCATTTCCATGGCAGCTGAGACCCTTGGATTCAAAACTTGCCTTAAACAGCAAGGTGTGCAGCTATGACACCACCTGGCCATCCAATCACTCTTTGTTTTCGAAATCGTCTGAAAACAAGAACTGCATAGCATTGTCAGAATCTCAGAAAAGCATTCCCTTGGTGTTCGAAGCTAATCTCCAGCCACAAAATGGAGTGAACACAGATCTTTCCACCACAACTGGAACTGACCAGGAGAGCTGCGTTGCAAGGCACGTTGCAAGGCACGTTCGCAACTTGGCCATGTTCCTTTGGGAGATGACCGAAAAAACATCAGGACTCTTTAAACAATTGCAGCTAGCTCTTGATTAAAACATATAAAAAACACAGCATCAGTTTCAATCATAATGTAAGTGTATTACATTACCAGGACTAGACCAGGGATTAGATTAGACCATAATTTGAAACTTTGTAAATGTAACTTGTCTTGTCTGGGAACAGTTGTTGATTGGCTTGGGAAACCCTTAGTACCTCCTGGGCTCCCTGTTTAATAGGGAATATGATGGCATAGATCCTTAGCTCCCTCCCAACCTCCAAATGGTGATAATTCAATTAATTCTACTTGAGGCCAGGCATAGGTGACGAAAGCAGGGGAGGTTGAATCTGGGGCTATTGTTTATGGGTTGAGAGAAGGCATATGCACATCCTTTTCGTCCAGGCGCAGGGAAGGTTTTGCAGGTGTTGTGCTGGGGAGGGAGGCTTTGCTGAAGTACCAAGAATTCAAAATGTAGGAGGGTTTGGTGAGGAAAGAATGCACCTAGTGCAGATATCATGTGAGGCTAAAGTTCAGGGACCCAGAGGATCGAGCCCACCATTTGATTACAAGACCATTGGGGGGTGGGTGAACCCCTTTTACATGAAAGCCTCATGCGATACATGATTCCAGCCCTGCCATATTCCTTGCTAAATCAAGAGCAACTTCAGCTAGCTGATGCTAACTTTCGTGATTACCACTTCGGCTGTATACCTGTAAGAGCCGCACGTCTTCTCTAACCTCCATAGATTTGACTTAGTCAAAAACCAGTTACCCGCTGAGCACCAAAAAAAATTATCAATGGGGCAAATACCCCAAAAATGGTATAATACCTACAATCCCCACATATCACCCTAAAAATTATCAATGGGAAAATATATGGTATTGTAGGTTTTGATCCATCCCCACATCTTCAAAAACATCATTCTTTTTCTGGTAGCTGATTCCTTCAAGGAAAATTCTCTGATTCCTCTGATGCTGCCACTGCATCCTGCACGAAACCGAAATTCACAATACCTCTTCTGGCACCGATCTTCTGCGACAGCAGCACAACCTGCACGAAGGCTTGTTTTCAGCAAAATATGCAGGTGATGAATTGATCTTTTTCAGAATAGTGAACATGATTTGAAATGATTTTTTTCATGATGGACATTTCAGAAGAACTTTCCATGTTTTTATCCATGCTTCAACTACTCGTACGCAAAAGGTCTACCCGTCTACCGGCAGGTCGTAGTCGACAAAACCTCCATTTCTTCGGTGGAGTCCAGCCCAGCAAGTCTCCCACCTCGCTACGGAGAAAAATCTGAGGCATCGAAACGAGGCGACCGTGCATCAAGTAACGTTGCCATTTGGGGCCTATCATATATATATAGTATAATATAATATCAGTTCATACAGTATAAGTTAATATATAATTCAATATTATTATATATATGGTATTTAAAATTTAATATAAGTTAATGTAATTCAATATAATAATAGAATATATATATATATATATAATTATATATATACATACATAGTCACATAGTATATAAAATATATACGAATACAAATGCGGGAATCCTTCCTTCAACATCTTCAATGCTGCCCAACTGGTTACAGTACGAGTACATTTTTTATTACCATCCTTTCAGCACATGCTAAAGTCCATTCATAGACACATTTCATAGACAACTGAACCTTTGCAAAATATGTCAACGTGATCTTTCTGGGTAAAGGCCATAATATGTATTAATATGTCACTAAACCTGAATCTTGCGGCCATTTTGGGACGATTCCCCTTATTAACCATGATTCCCAGTTTTCGGGAGGACAGGCTTCGGTTGTGATGAAATTTACCCATCAATTTCATCCCCTCTGAGGCCGAACAAAGTACTCTGGCGCTCGGCGGACGGCATTCCCTGCTGCGTTGTGCCAACCTTAGAATTGCATTGCAAACTTCAACGGCGAAGTTTAGCGCGGATTTCAGGAAAATTAGGTAGTAAATGGTAGTAACATGAAGTTCCTATATCTGCCAATCTGTACAAGTGTACATCAATTATCATTAATATATCATTAATTATAGAGCAATACATTATGATTTCTTTGAAGACTCGTCTGCGAGTAGAAATGGTCCAGAATCGGCTGACGGACAACCAAGACATACCAAGACTAGGACGCACGAAGCGAGCCCCGGCATCGGATCCTGTCCTGAAATCTCCAGAGTTTACATCTGGATCCCAGTGATACCATCTGGTTATGACTAACATAGCCATGGAAATCATGGAAAATGGCCCATTTATAGATGGTTCACCTATTAAAAATGGGTAGATTTTCATTGATTTTCCATGGCGAACTGTTAGTCATAACCAGATGGTCTCCAGAAATCTGGGGATTTTCAGTGGATGGACAGCTGGTGTTTTGCTGAGATCATCTCAGATCTGGACAGCTCCAGCTGTCTCATCAAGATCGCCTTGCCTCCTGGATGTTTTGCCTCAGGCTTTGCCAAAACAGGGGGACCAAGCCATTTTTCTATTGCCAACACATATCTCATTTTTCCGGTGGTTTTTCTGAATCAGTAGATTTACAATCCTAACTTGACATTACTTAATCTAGATTTACATTACTCTTAATTGTATGGCCAAAACATATCTTTCTGGTGAATGATTGGCCTCGGAAATCCATTGGAATGGCTTGAGTCGGCTCGTGGTTTCAAACCTGGCCTCGTCTCGAAGAAATGGTCCCATATCAAAGACCATGCCGTTGATCATGACCCAGAAATCCTGGCACTGTAGCTATCATGTGAAAAAAAAACACATGGTGCCTGCTATGAAAAACTTTCTTGACCGAAGTCTATAAATTCAATCTATGCTTTATTTTAATATATTTGATTTAATTGATTGTATTTGCATATGTGCAGTATACTACAGTATACAGTATACATATCAGTAAACAAAGGAGCCAACACATTTCCAAGACCTTGGGCAGTTGCCGAATGAGAGCAGCTGCAACGCTCCCTCACCTCTTCACTGGAGTGCTTCTGTAGTTCCTCTTGGGTTACGGTGGGCCGCTTCTCACTACCTTTGGCACCCCACCTAAAAGCAGCGGAAAGCTGCAAAACCTGATCCATCCTTATTCCTTGTGAACCTTGTGGGATAAACCGATAAACCTGAAATAATGTGACCAGACTCTCTTTGACATGCTCCAGCAACATTTTCCGAAGGGACCGTTCACACTTCAACGAATATCATCTGGAAACAAACCTATAATTCGAGGACCCCTGTGCTGAGCGCTGGAGATGAAAACGAAGTACAATGACATTATCTTTTTGGTAAGGAAATCGGGAACATCCGGCAACCCCAACTGTGCCCCCTTGCTTCTTTGCGACCAGAAGCCCCAGCCTCAAGTGCAAAGGTCAACCCCGGAAGAGTTTCTGTCGTTGTTGGCCTTTCGAATTTGGTGGTGTTTCATTGTTTCATACCTCAAAAAAGGGCGGTCCTGTGATCTCTTGACATCAATTTTGCTTGTTCCTACATTTCTGCACAATCTGGTCCAGCAGTGCCAACCTGTCATTTCAACGGCACTTGGGTCAGCATGTCGTATTTCATCGCTTCAAAAAGGGCGTGGAGGACATCTGTGTCCACCATTTTCCACCATATCCAAGTGGGCTTCTGGCTTTCTGAAGACTGTCTCCTCTTTTGTCCCTCTGGTCTCCTCTTCCTTGGCCATGAAGAACAATATAGTACTACTGGTTGGTGCTTTTAACAATCTAGAAAAACATGAAAGTCAATGGGAAGGATTATCCCATATATCATGGAAAATAAAAAATGCTCCAAACCACCAACCAGTATATATATATAGATGTTTGCGGAGTACACACAAGGCTTGCAATGACCGGTCATTGCATGTAAAGGGGAGGTCCACAGTCCGACTACTTACACAAAGCACAAAACACTAGGTATATAGCAAATACATAATGAACATGAAAGTCAGGAACACATTCTCTATGACCGAATGTCATACCTTGTCTTTGTGTGTGTGACGGAGTGGCCTTTGCAATCAAACACACATGCAACAGGATGCCATGAAGGTCCGGAACACTTTTGGCATGCGAACGCGGACAGTTTGACCTTCGCAGCACTTGAATTATGATTCTGATTCTAACATCAGCCCAACACAACCCATGTCATCAACGCTGCTGGGCATGCTGGGCCGTGGCTAAGCACTGTGCCAGGTCATCTTCAGCTGCACCTTCTGCAGTCTCCCAAATGGTATCTGTTGAATCACCTGAGCTCGACACCCGAGACATCCCGAAAGAACGGACCACGGACCGGCGAAGTGCACCACCATGCTGGGCTTCCTTTGGACAAAAGCATAGTTGCCCGTTCCATTGACAGTGGACATCCTCAAATATCGCAAAATATATTGGCATCAGCATATCGGTGTGATGGCATGGTTCATCCAAGTCGATACCGTCGATAGCGAGCAAATCTGATGGCATTTCCTGGGGTCAACTGGAATCACCCCCAACTGCAACTGGAGATCAGAAAAGGCAAGACTGATGGGTGGAAAGTATCGGTGTCATGATGTTTGTACTAATATTGTTGCAATGTTTCGCACACTTTTTACAAGTTCCTATCTGATTTCCTAGTCACACATACTTGGGGCCGTTTTTTTACAGTTCGTAGTTGGGATTGGAACTTCACTGTAGCTTGCAGTAGCTGTAGCTTGGTTTAATCTCCTCTCCCGTCTCTGAGATCATCTGAGTAATGCCAACCGCTGCGTGTTCTTTTCATTTGTGGATGGTCACCTACCAATGACTCAGAGTCCGAGCTTGTCACAAACTGTTTTGCTGTGTTACGTTGCTTGCAATACATACATATAATGTATATATAAATATATCATAAACAATGTACTGTGAAAGTGGCAGTCTGAGCCTGCAGCGCAAGATACATTTGGATTCATGAATCCTCCCACTAGGGACGACATCGACGATGTAAAATGTCACAGGAGATCATCCAAGAATTTTGACCAAAAAACTAGAGTTGGGTGTGTCTGATAAAACATACGCCAGTTGTGGCCAGTTTTCCATGGAACATCATGATGATGTTTCTTCTTTCATGTTTTTTCCCCACAATTTTCAGACAACGCCATTTTATGAATCAGCTTGCATATGTGTTTTGCTTTGTCAAATTTCACTCGGGTGCATGTTTTCGCGCCCTATCGTTGGCCATCCCATCCGATGCTAGAAAACCCGTTTTTTCCTATGGGAACAAATGTGGTTAGAACAATGCCATAAACTACCCATGACTGGGAATGGTCAGTCTATACCACCCATAAGAAATGGTGATGACTGGGAGATGGTGCAAATGGCATGGTTTTACCCCCATGATTCATTTCCGGGTTCCGCTTTCGCGGTTTATTCTGAGATAACCCGGCATCGGTTTCTGGGGGAGAAACCGATGCCGGTGAAAATGGGTTGATCTTCACTATTCTTTGATGGCCATCTTTAAGGGGTACCCGGCCTGGTAAACATACAAATAACTATTGAAAATGGCCATACAAGGTGGTGCCCCATAGTTAGCTAAATTGGTTTAGAACTCCAATAACTATGGTTTATGGCAGATATAACTATAGCTAATGGGGTTTATAAACCAACAAACATCACTGGGGGGCACCATCCTGTAGAAATAGTTGATTTTCCCATGAATAGCATGGTGATTTTCCATCGTTTTTTGTATGTTTACCAGAGGGTAACCGCTTTGGGCCATGGGGCCGCAGCCACCACACTTCACCGGGGCGCGTGACCCACCGGTGATGTCGAGGACTGGGATGAAGCCCCAGTGAGCTAAATCGCTTGGTGGGTTTAGAACATTTGGTTGGTGGTTTGGAACATTTCGATTATTTTCCATTTCATATATGGGATGTCACCCTTCCCATTGACGAACTCATCTTTTTCAAAATTGTTGAATCCTTCCCATTGACGAACTCATATTTTTCAAGATGGTTGAAACCACCAACCAGACATGTTATAACTCCAATAACTGTTGGGTTGTAGATGTATCGAACTAGCTATGGTTTATAAAATTGATAAACCAAACAGAACTCGGGGGATTAGCACCACCTTGAGTGGTTCATGAAAAGCACAATTTGAGCCACGTTTTTTTTCCAGATGATGGAATTTAGATTGAGGAGGAACTCACATCATTCATGCGTAGGCTAGTCTGCTTGGTGCGTAGGTTTCGCGTAGGCATATACGTAGGATAATGTAGGAGAGGCTGCGTAGGCAGTCTCGCGTAGGCACTTGTTTAGATGTTCTAGATTGTTTGTTTCTGACCTCGAACTCTTGTTTTTCTTGGTGGCTTACAATGATTTTAAATGCGAACGGATTGTATGGTTCATATGTTTAGCTGGAAGAAAGGGGAGATTAAAGAAACAACCGCTTTTTCAGAAAATTACAAGTGCCAAGTTTTCGAACAGCCATTTTCGATTCGGATTTTCGCGTAGGCTCCGCGTAGGCCCTCGCGTAGGAAACGCGGAGGCCCTAGGTCAAATTGTGGCCCGTAGCCCATCAAAGTCTTACCGTTTCACTTTTCTAATGTTTCCATGAGTTCATCATGACTGCCGATCACATCATGACACAGTGCTCCACTCTTGATGAGGTTTCCGCCTTCCTTTCACAAGTCACCCAAAGAATCGTCATCTTCCAATTCTTTCTATTCCACTTCTGAACCAGAATTAGTGATCACATCACGTCAAGTAAAGAGATCGTTGCAGCAACTTTCGCGGAGGCAACCGCGTAGGCACTTCTTGAAAGGTAACCTTCGCGTAGGCAGTCTTGCTTGGGAGGAGTGATTTGCGTAGGCCCCGCGTAGGTGTACTAATTTGTGTATTGCAGTTTAGCAAGGAAAAAAAACACAACTGTCGACTGCTCCAGCTCTCCAGCTCTCGCCCTGAATTTTTGACACGATCATCTTTTGGCCATCAACATATCATCGGAATTTTTTTCTGGGGTTCCAGAGTTAAATTATGGGTAAATCCACTATATATGATATATGGTGAATCTGGGGTATCCGTATATTAACCATATATGAATTACCCTCATCTCAGGAAAGTCTGGGGTCTTTTTCACAAACTTTCCGTGCTACGATACCAGAGTTTTTTCTCAGGACAGAAGGCTCTCAAGGCTCTCCGCGCGGAAGCCGCGCCAGTTGCGGAAGTCGAGATGCCCCAGACAAACTGATCGATGATTTTCCATCAACGCTTGGTTTTGACCAGGGGATAACCAGGTTTTTTTATGCAAACAAGTCACCATTGGCAATGAAGGTGACCGAAGAAGTCACCGTCCATCACCGTCCCGTAAATTGGGGACAGTGGTTTTTCTAGTCATCCCATCCGTTGATATAAAAAACAGACCCAGAAACTATGGTTCCTACGTGGAAATCAACTACTGAACTATGGTTTCTGGGTGTTTAATAACGGGGGAAGGAATTCATGGGATGATTCGTTGTTTATGACCAGCTGTTGTGATTGTTGACTGGGACAGTTTCCATCACTTCTCACGGTTGGTCCGTGAATTCCTGCGACCAACCCACTTTTCATGGAATTCGCTACACGTCGAATGATCTTCGCGTCGCAGCTTACACGTCAGGCTGAGTTTTTTTTGGTCCAACCAGCTTTGGAGAGCATCAACAACACTTTATTCAACAACCCTGAGTTTTCACCTATTCCAGCCAGATCTTGCTTAAAAGAATAATTTGAATCAGCCGACCACACCCATAGTTTCCAGTCATTTTTAATGCACAAATTGTCGTAGTTTCTGAAGCGTTGACGTTTTTCTCATATTTTTTTTGGATCGAAAAAGCCAGCAGCGATGCTGCAACCGGATCCATCCATCCAATCTTCATCAAAAAACAGGACTGGATCAATTGGATACATGACTATGACTAGGTCAATCTTACATACAAACTAATCCAAAAACAAACTCATCCTAACTGTTGTCTTTTAAGGTATCAATATAGGAATACAATAGGAATACAATAGGAAGATCGAAGCGTTCACCCAAAAAAAGATTGGATAAATACCAATCGATGAGATCATTCCAATGGATCCAATGGATTATACATATTATACACGACTGGATTCCAATGATGGATCCATTGGAATTATGTTATAATATGATTAGAAAACATATTATAACATGGAATTATGTATGGATTATACATATGAAAAAAAAACACTTATTATGATTCATACGAATCTAGATCCAACGATGGTCTCCGATTCCAAACATTTATCATACCGAATCCCCAAAAAGGAGAGTATCATCACTGGCAGGTTTTTTTTCCCTCTTAAACAGGTTTTTCCTGCCGTCAGTCCGCTCAGCCCAATGTCCCCAAAAAGATCAAAGTTTCCTAATTATCGAAATATGGTATGATGTTTATGATCATCATACTGTAATCATGCTATGGGGTTGATGATTATAATAATCATGGTATAGGAATGCCACCAATTTCAATGGATTGGTTTTCACGGGAAAATCTTCACCGGAAACCATCGACTTCCCCACATTTTTTCTATGGGCTTTTCCGGTCACAAAAATTCCCGTGAGCCAACCAATCCATTGAAAATTTCCGAAAAAACCGAGGCCGCGGTCTGGCGGGGTTGAGTGGCTTAGCGCTGTTATCCCCGCGGCTGAGCGCCGCCACGCGCGCCTTGAGTCCCAGAGACACCATCGGCCTCCTACGACTGGGGATCAACCCGGAGGCGCAGCAACGGGGGCGCGCCTGGGGATCATCGAAAAATGGTGTGGAGCTGCGAAAAAAAGTGGAGGATTTACCTGATTTATACCTGATTTAAGCTGCAAAGATGGCAATTTATAGATATTTATAGTTCATAGATCTCCATGATTGATGTTTCATGCTGAAAGACAGAGAAGAACATTGATATAGTGGTTTTATTTACCAAACAAATCCATTCTGGGGGTCATCAATATAGAACTCTAAACAATGTGAACATGTTTACGTACCATTAATTATTTGGTATCAACAGCCTCATGAACACGTGTATAGGCTATATGAGGCTATATGGTATATATCAAAAAACATTACATTACATTATATTACAGCATATTACGCATATTACATTGCATTACATACCATTCTATTCCATTCTATTCCATTCTATTCCATTCCATTTCATTACATCGTATTACATTGTATTACATTACATTACATTGAACACATACATGAATATATATATATACATGAATACATGAATACATACATACATGCATGCATGCATACATTTACATAGATGAATAAATAAATAAATAAACAAACAAATATATAAATATACAAGTATATAAATATATAAATATATAAATAAATAAATGAATGAATAAATAAATAAATAGATAAATAAATAAATAAAAATACACAGATAAATAACTACTGGAAATCAATGGATATATATATATATATGTATACACATACAGCATACTAACATGGTTATACCTTTTCCATCCTTTTCGCGGTCTCCAGGCTTTAAGCCGCAGCCCTGGGGTGTCGCGGGGCCCCAGTCCCAGCAGCCGTGCTGCCAGCGCTGCCAGCCGTGGTGCGAGTGGCAGCCGCTGTCGCTTTTTGTCTGCGGAGGTGGATGGGAATTCCTGCGGGTTGAGAAACGATGGTGAACATCAACTGCCAACCATTGGGAAAACCATTGGGGGTCATGGATTATAATGGGATTAATGGGATTATAATCATTAGGAAAATGGTTGGTATGGATGATTACAATTGGGATAACCATCGCGATAGCGATTAAAGGTTAATGGAGAAACAATGGTGAATATCCAATGTGGTAAAGCCAATGCCATAAACCTTGGCGATGGTTTACACAACACATTTGTGGCGATTTTGGGGATGGTTTACTATTGGCTTTCCCACATTATACTTGATAGTTACTAGGGATTTTGTAATTCTCATATATCCTCTAGGAATAGAACTATGGCAATTTTACTGGAACATAATTTATTGGGAACCATTGTTGAATGCCCGCAGGACTGGAATATTGCAAGAAAAGAGATATTGGGAACATGTATTGGGAGTTCCCATTTTGCGCAAATTTTGTCCAACGGGTGTCTTCACTGGGAGTTCCTTCATGTGTAATTATCTGTATATGTATAATACGGAAGAATGGTTCAAATAGTGAAGATACAGTTGATTCTCAATGGATTATATTCCAGTCACTGATCATTATAATCGGAATACAATGGAATCATCTAAATCGAGGGTTGAAACTTGGATGTAGTTAATTCAAAATAGTGATGCCTCCCAAATTCTAGGGAAAAACAATGCAAGAATCCGCCAGACTGTTTCAAGCACTATATTGGATTGCTTACACAATGGGGTACAGTACTTCTAAGGTCCCAGGGTTTTGGAAAATCAGTTTCCAATTAGATCGCAATGAGATGGTTGTAAATCCACTTTTTTGGGGCAAAACCATCATAAAACCCTTATGTACGATTTATATACAGCAACCCTGTTGGTTAAAATCTGACTCTTACGTTCGCTAAAATCCGCATTGCTCGGGTATGGGTTTGTCAAAAATGGGATATAGCCGGATGGAACAAAATCTCAACATCATCTATTGCTGGCTGTCTCTTCCATTATATCTCCCATAAGACTTCCTCATAGACTGGTTGTTTTTCTACTCATTTGCTTGGAGTCACTGACTCCATTGCCAAAGCGAGAAAGGCACTATCCAAAATTTAAGCACATTTATCACTTGTTTATCCCCAATATGCTTGGCTTTCTGCCCCCCCACCTATGACTTTTCCTATCATTTGAGGGCAATCTTTTTTGGTTCTAATCCGACTAATTGTCTTATCCTCAAGCAACATCATTTGAACATGTCCCGTGTTTCCGGGTTAATTCCATCAGTTTTTGGTGGTAAAGCCACCATTTGTGCTGGTTAACCCCGCCCTTATATCTCCAGTTTACACCAAGTTGCATTTTGTTGTTTTTGTTAGTTGAATCACCATTCTTCATGCAAATCCCCAATTTCCATCGGAAGGCTCTTTCCATCAGTACATATCCCCATAAACTGGTTGGTCTTGATTTGACGGGCAATTTCCAACAATTTGTTGAATATTAAGTTCATTCAATTCCATTATTGCTTTAATCCTAAGAGAAAAACATCCTTTCAGAATTTCCGCAAATTGTATTATTGGTAGTATACCCATATGGTCAGGTTGGGCTTATGTGGTGGTATGGGTTGGTGGTTTGGGGGGTCTGGGAAATTGTGTTTTTTTTTTTGGTGGTCCAAACAGACCTTTTTTTGCCCAGTACATGATATTTTTCACCCCCTCCTCTCCAAAAGGCGGTCAGCGGGTGTTGGACGCACAAAGCGTCCTTGTACAGAAACACCCGCTGGCGGGTCCCCTAATCACGGTGCAATTATCTGGTGAGAACAAAAACTTGTGGCTAACAGGTTTTCTGACCGCACTGACTTAAGTTGTTTGTTTGGAAACAAACAATTTTTTCAGACAACTTGAATGAACTAGGTTTTTTCTTAAAAAACATGTTTAAAACTTCAAATTACCAGACCCAACCCACCACCAAGCCATACCACCACATGTGCGCACATGTTGATATGGGGATGGATCAAGTTTACCTTTAGAAAGCTTGTTATTTTCCACCGTTTGATGCTTATCATGTATTTTTCCTACCATCCCTGGGTGAAATCCTCGATTTTCGGCGAAATCCCACGTCGTAAAACCGGGCCAGGACGAGGAGCGATTGGTGCTGAAGGGTGCACAGGAACGAATCCGCGCAGAGGCGCGCGAGCGCCGTGAGCAGCTGAGGGAAGCGCAGCGCTTGCAGGCGGCTGGAGAGTTGTCCAACGCGACGCGGGATTTTTCATGGAGATTTCCATGGGATCTTTAATGGGTTACCCTCTGGTTATGTCAAAATAGCTATTAAACATGGCCATTGATTTCGTGAGTTTTCCCAGTAAACATGGTGATTTTCCATAGCTATGTTTAATTACCAGAGGGTATGTATGGGATATATGGACTATTATAATAAATGGCTCAAAAACCTCAAGTTAGATTACCGGAATATCTCCACTGGATTTTTTTTGGGATGATTTTATGGGTTAGATCAATGGGGCCCGCCCCTCTAAGCTGGGTATCATCCAGCAAAGAATGGACACTGTCTGGGTAAATTTGATCACAACCTCACTGTTCTCGTTCTCACTGGAATCATGTTGAATGTGGTGAATGTTTTTTGGGGAATTCTCCCCAAATAGCCACAAGTTTCACGTGAGTGAAATATGATAATGTACCCAGATACTGTCATTACAATTAATGTCAGTAAAGCTTAGTAAGCCACCCCCAAATTTGCCATAAATGGGTGGTATGAACATGTATAACCATGCGTGGTTTATGACGTTGCTTTACCCGCATTGCAACCGTTGTTACAGTTACAGGAATCAACTTCAAATTAAACCGTTGTTTATTGCTTAAATCACCATTTTTATGCAAGGTGAGGCCCCCCAGTTATGTTTGCTGGTTTATCAACACGATGAATACTAATGGTTGTATCCACCAAAAACCCTAGTTAACCAAGTTATTTGCTTCAACTTAGCTGTCTAAGGGGACCTCACCTTGTATAATGAGACTTGTGGACATTTATCGTGGATTTCAGCAGATTTAACCATCAAACAAGGTAGATTTGATATTTTTGTGGGTTCACCAAGCAAATCAGGGGGGTGATCCTACCAAAATGGAGATTTATCACCATTTAAATGTGATAAGGCATGGAGATATATAGGGGGTATTTGATGGGATATTCATGATCCACATATTTGGGGGTATTTCTCATGATCCAAATGGAGGATTTGGCTATAGATCAATACAATAGCCATCATTTTTGTTGGGGATGAAATAGCTAGCCGCTATTCTGGGCTTCGCCGGCGTACCATGATTTTGGCCCACCAACATGATCTTTG